TGTGTGTGTGTCACACCCTGGTTCTAAGGGTTTCCACCTGTTTACCTTTCCACCACCACCGAGACTTTCCATCAACGGCAGGGGCGTCAGGCTCGATACACCTACCTGACGCAACGAAGCTCTGGTGTATCGAGGGATGGGTGGACTGATCATCCACCTGTACCTGCTTCAACGGTTGAGCAAGCTGTTCCAATCCTCCTCCTTTTTTGATTCCATGGTGGTTCATGATACTTCCCACAAACCCTTCCACTTTCTCACGCAGCTGCATCGTACAGAGGCTCGCCACCGCACACCTGTCAAAACTTTGTTCAACCATACGGTTTTTGTGGACTTATGCGCCTTTCCGTTCCCTCACCTTCCTTCCCATCGTGACAACTGAGTATAACTGAAAACCCAAATTCGAAGTGTGTCCACACCTGTGCCTGAGGTTTTGCGTCGTGTGCTTCCTTTTAATAATTCACTTTGGCAGGGGGCAGTGACAGAGGTTCTTTCTCTCAAGCTTGTGAGGTGGAATCCCAGGCTCGTTTAGTCAACGCACTCCCCTTCCCCCCCCACCCGCGAAGCAAAAAATAGCGCGCCGACTACGGCTTCGTGTGTGTGTCCACACCTGTGCCTAAGGTTTTGCGTCTTGTGTTTCCTTTTAATAATTCACTTTGGCAGGGGGCAGTGACAGAGCTTGTGGAATCACTGCCAACGAAGACGTCCACATTCTTTGGTGATGCATCGGGAGACGTCCTGATGTGTACCTGCTTTCAAGTGTTTAAACTGACAACACTCCAATGTCCTGCTGTTCCTTGCTGGGTTTCATGGTTTTTGCACGATATACTTCCAAACCATCCTCAGCAGACTGCAGCGCATCGCTTGTCGTCCGGTTGAAACCCAATGTTCACACCTTTCCAAGTGCATGGACTCAGTCGCCTGGCCGTTGAAGCATTTTTCCGTTGAATCCAGTCAAGGTCTAATTCTCAGTATCGTAAAGGGCTACTGCATCCGCGATTCAGCCACTGATTTTGCTCTTGCGAGCATCCATCTAAGTGTGTGTGTGTGTCTGTTTGTATATCTGTATATATGATCCGTTAAACGTGCAATTCTTGGCTAGGTTGGCTTGGCTTTGCTCTCGGACTGTTTGCAACTGATGGCGTGCTAGATTTCCAAAAGGCCTTCACCCAGCAAAAATCCGTTTTGGGAACCGTTATGTGGCCTTAATGTTGATAAAAAGGTCGCCCACATAATGGTCCCATTTTGCAATCCCCACTTTCTCGTGTCCACCCTCACGAAAAGAAGAACAATGCGCATTTTTGCCTTATGCCTTATGCCCTCCCTGCTTCCTTTTTGCCCTCCTTTCTCCCCTTGCCACGCTAGCTTTCGTCACCTTTCTCCCTGCCTCAAGTTTGCACATAGCACGTACTTTTCGCGCATCGTGATTGCTGCCGTGGTCATTTGCTCATAAGATCTCACAAGCGCGCCCTGTTGGAGGGCTACACCATGCTACACTCATTCCATTTCATTTCCATATACATATATACTACATATACTGTAACTATACGTAGTTGGTTGGACCGCCGGACCGCCTCGGTCGTCAAAAAGACTTGATTGATGCGTTAGAAATATGGCTCACTCACTTGGGCTGAAGATTGTCGACCGATCTCTACGCAAACTCAGTCTCGTGCATGGAAAAGTGTAGCTCGGCCCAAATCGGGACCATGGTGGTTCCGGATCCGCATCAAGGTCCATGAGGCCAGTGTGGCAAGATTCCATGGCCAGATGGTGGATGTCCAATGTTTGTCGGAATTGGAACTCACAAGTTGCTCGAGTGCAGAGGCCATGCCAGTGCAGCTGTTGCAGAGCACTTTTGAGGATCCCTGCCGAGCCTTTGATTTCTCCGACTTGGGTGATGCTTCTTGGTTGCATCGGGTTCATCATTGATCGTCGAAGTCATTTTGATGTTTTCAGTCTCATTTGTCCCCAAAAATGTTCAAAGACATTGAAGATTGTTTGTGTTCTGTGGCGCTGGCAGTGATTGGCAGGCAGAGCTGCAGAAGGGTGACGCAGCAGGCGTGAGACAGTATGTTCCTATCAAAATCTCATTCCAACACCCCATGGTTTCTATCAAAACCTAATCCCATCAGCCCTCCTTTTGAACCCTGACCTGATGAAGGCCCTGATGGCTCCTCTCAGACATGGTCACCTCTTGGAGTTTCTGCAGAAAATACAAGAATATATTTGTTCCTAGTAGTAAGGCCAGGAGCGACTAGTAGCGTCCTCGCTCCTAGTAGCGATGCCCTTTGTTCCTAGTAGCTTTCAAAAATATTATGTACTTTCGCCCCCGTATTTGCTGGTTCCGTAGTGTTGTGGTTCAAGCTGAAGTCGGTGCATGATTTGCACTCGTTGCGGCTTGTTCCTCAAGGACGGGCCTTTCTGCCTCCCGTGCAGAACTACCCAGAGGCTGCGAGAGGTCGTTGAAGGTGGCCTCATTCTACGGTCGCAAGAGGCAAGGCCCTGACCATACTCCGGGAGGCCGCTGGAAGGCTCCTTTACCCGGCAGAGATCGCCGGACCGATTCTGGCAGCTGAGAGATGTGCAGCCAATCCTCCAGGTGTACCCGGGGTTGACCAAGGGCGGAAAACGTCATGGTGCGGCCGAAAGTGTGGTACTAGGGTATGAGCCAGTAGTTAGACTTCTTCGAAGCTGGAAGACAGCAGCGACTCCTAGCACTCGTTTGACACCGTCGCCTATGAAGTGCCGCGCACTTTTCAATTTATGCCTCCAAGGTTTGAAAATTCAAGACGTTGGCTTTAGACCTTACTCTCTCAGGAGAGGAGGAGCCACGTTCTGGTTTCAAAAGCACCAGAACCTGGACCGAATCCTGGTCCAGGGTCGGTGGCATACGCAGAAGAGCGCACGAATCTACGTCAACGAAGGGTTGGCCGTTTTGAGCTAACTAAAAATCCCTGCTTCTGATGCACGCGTTCGCCCCTTTTTTGACTGTTTATCGTAGTTTCTTGCTGTCACCTAAGATCACAACACTTGAACCTCCTGCCAAAGGCGGAAGGACAGGGGACTTGGAAAACGATCCATGCGATCCATGAAAGGCAAGGGCAAATTGCGATTAACTTTCTTTTTCCGTGTGTCAACCACGGTCCGTGCTTGTATCCTCACCG